TTAAACTCGAATTAATCAAGTATCTTGCAAATAAAATAAGATAATTTTGCGAATATATTTTAGGACGACCAAGTTTACATGGCCTTAGGAATTTAAGCCTCAACCAGTCACCCTTACACTAAATGAAATTATCACTGTCTGCTAGAGCTATTTAGATATGTGCAAAGTCACACTCGAAATAACTTTTTATAGGCATTTTAGTTAGCCCCAGGAATGACATCTTGGCACAGAGTCTATTGTATGCGTGCATTTTCCACCCTTGAGTTCATATATCAGTTTTCCACCTACCTCAACCAACGCAAATAGCCCTACTTTGCCTGTTGGATTGACGTTCAAAACTCTAAGTGTAGGATGCAACCATGCGTGTGGTTTGCACACGCTGTACTCACCATCGCCCCTGATAATTTCCGCTAACATTATGTCAGATAAGTATATCCAATACTAGAGAATGAGTTCTGTGAGGGACAAGAGATAAATTTCCAATATAGAAATAATCCTCATTCAGACATTTAGGAAGTGAAAGGACTGAGAGAAAAAATGGTAGCTTTCATTGATATAAGAAAAGAACTTTTAAACTGTGGTAGCGTATAACTCCATTGTGGGTAAAATTTATTTGAAGTCTCACAATGTTAAACAGTAATATTTACTAATGAAGTTTCAAGCACAATGTATTGCTCATAATCGTATCAAGGTACTCACACAACTTTCTAAATTCGTTTTTATAATTCCATTATTTTTCATCGCCTGACTTCATTGGTAGCAGTATTTTCCATATTTCCGGTATGAGTGACGAATCATTCCTATTGCACGTGTTGGGTGTAGACTTAATGAACCAGGATTCAGTAATCAATCTCTCTCTCTCCACCTATATAGATCACTTCTTAGAATCTTAACCCTCTCCCAGTCTATTGTGTGTTAATGCACGCAGTGCAATGTAGTGCTGAGCTTTTTTCTAAATTACTCATCTTCTCGGGGTCAACCATTCTTACCTTAGCTAAATTCTTGTGTTCCGACAATCTGATTACCCCCCATCTACTAGTTTGACCTATGCATTTGACTTAACTCACAGTCATTGCAGGGCATTTTGTAAATTATATTATTTTGTCCAACTGGGTCCTTCAGCCTACAGAGCTTGTCGCTGAGTGAATTTGTAAACTTGAATGCCACCCTAATTCATGCTTTATTAAGAATCCTACATAGACCCTCAGATGTCCCCTCCTTATATGGTGGAACAGCAGACGCCTTATATTCTCTCTTATTTATGTTATCATTACTAGTTTCACAATTTTGTTCGAATCGTCATCCAGTAAATAATACTATTTCACTATGTGATACATCTAATAAAAAACTAATATGGTACTGTTATTATTATTATTTTTATTCATTTCCCACCTTCCGAGTAGAGCATAGAGCTTTAAGAGAATATCTCTACTTCACTCAGTTCTCAGCCATCATTTCACTTCAAACTGGCTCTAAAACTGCTCGTAAGCTCCTATTTCCTCTCTTCTTGATTCACTCGAGTACCAAACAGGTCACTGCCAAGTAGGGTTCCACTCGACGGCTTGGTATGTGAGTCTCCTGATCATCTCATCAGTGTATACCTAATCCGTATCCATTTCCTTCTTAATGTACATTAGATAATAGACTGTTGGCCGGCTTACTACCAAACAGAGTTCCTCTTGTTTATCCATTTCGATCAGCCATCTGAAATCCATTATTGAATTGACGAACTCAAATCGATGATCAGTGTCTGCAGTAGTCCACTGGAAACGATTTCGGTGACATCTGACCCAAATCTTTGAACCACATAGAGACAATGAATTTACAACAGTGTTAAACAGAATTCCAATGAAGTTTCCTGTGATAAGTGCTGTAGATTTCCACGCAACACATACGTTAGTGAAATACAAGGAGAGTTAAAAATCACAATTATTGAAAACAAATGTCCTTAGAATTATATGTCATCCCGAAATTTGAATTACCACGCATAGGCAAATAATTTTCTAGATTAATACCCGGTTCTAAGTCATGGAAAAGAGAGAAGGCTGAGAGCGAAGCTAACAACCCTCCATGCAAAACCAATCTAATCACTACCGAAACTTCCACACATAGAAGAAACATCAAAGATAAACTTATTCTTCCCTGGAATCTGAGAGACGGAATGACGCAGGTTGTTGAAAGCGTTTAGAAAGCCAATCAGCCGACTTGACTTCTATCGATCAAGTCGAAAATGAACATGAAGACATAGAATGCTCGTACAGTTTACGAGGCTGGGAAAGCTGACTAGGTTGCCAAAGAAATTCGAAGATACTGTGGAGAAGTGCGAAGAACATGTGAGAGCAGGTGGAATGGATGTAGACAATCCAAATTGTTAACTGATAGTCAATGGTCCACTCCAGTCACGCAGATGACAATCAAATGCACACTGGGGGAGCGACTATTATGGTGTCACCAAGAGCAATCAAATCTCTTGTGCAGTGGAAAGCAGTCTCCTCCAGGATAATGACAGCAAGATTAAACACAAAATGGAAGGAAGGAAGGTTGCAATTATCCAACGCTATGCACCTACAAACAAGAAGGAAGAATTTTATGGACCATTCCAGACAGTAATGGACAACATCCCGAAGGGCGACATCAAAATCCTAATGGAGGATATGAGTGCTAAACCTGTAGCAGACAATACAGGACGAATAATCATCATGGGTAGGAAGGCTCATGGAGAAATGAATGAGAATGGAGAACTCAGACTTTTGTGCATTCAATGATTTGCTGATAGAAGGCAGTGTGTACAAATACAAGGATGTATACAAGGCGACATGGGTTTAACCTGAAAGATACACCAAAAAATCAGATAGACTTCATCTCAATGCAGCTTAAGGAAGTGAAGACGCGGTCTATTTGATACTAAGTCAACCAGGGGAGAAGATGTGGCCTCAGATCGTCGTCTAGTTTAAGCGACCTTCAAGGTCAAACTGAAGGCTTTTAGAAGAGCTGGAGATAGACCAGAATTCAAGTTCAATACCCAGAAAACCGAAGGACGAAACTACAAAGGACACATACACTTCAGCCAGCAGAGCAAAGTCGGAGATATTATGTAGCATCACTGAAGAAGCCTGTGTGAAAGAACACTGGAACTCTCTGAAAGTGTTGATAACGGAGACCTGTACAGCCCTTTTAGGAAGAAAGAGGAGACAAGAAAGGGAATGTCTGTCTATGGACACCTAGAAGATAACAGAGGAGAGAGGTAAGATGAAACGGAAGATGAACCAGTGCAAAGATGGACAACGAAAGCAGAAGCTAAGTTCCATGTACAACGCACTGAACAAAGAAGTGTATGAGGATGTTAGGAAAGACAAGAGACAGTTATACGACACACTGGCAACTGAAGCGGAACAGGCAGCAGGTAAAAAAGACCTCAGAACACCATATCAGATAACTAATTTCCTATCAGGAAGGAAGTGAACACAGACGAAGCCAATAAAAGTCGGTCAAGAGAACCTAACTACCAAAGAGGAGAGACAAAGGAAACAGTCGGCTGATCACTTCAGAGGACTGTTTAATCGATTACAGCCTGCAACTCATCTGGAAATAAATACCACTAACGGGAGGCACAGAACTACCAGTGGATACCAATGCTCCAACGAAAACAGAAGTCTCGAATGCAGCCAAGCTACTGAAGCCCGGGAAGGCAATAAGACCAGATGAAATCCTTCCGAAAGCACTGGAAACTGATCCAGAGATCGCAGTGGATATCATCACTCCACTATTGGAAAAGGTTCGGGGGAAGAGAAGGTACCTGCTGATTTGAAGAAAGGCTACCTTGCCAAACTACCAGAGAAGAGAGACTTAGGGCCCTGCAAGAACTTGCTAGAAATCATGCCCTTGTACATGCCAAGCAAAATATTAAGTCGCGTCATCCTGAAAAGAATAAAAGATGCACTGAATGCGGAACACCAACCGGAACAAGCTGGATTGTGGGAAAGCAAATCATGTTCGGATTAAATTACGACTCTACACATTATCGTCGAAGAGCATAGAATCTGCACCTCAACTTCATCGATTTTGAAACTACCTCAACACTATGGGGTGCAGTGTCCAAATATTTATCAATCTCATTGAACAGCTGGCTATGTGACAGTGGCGAGTGTCAAGTGGTCCACAACGGAGAACTCAGCAAAGCGTTTGAAGTAAATACAGGAGTAAGACAAGCTGTCTGGCTATTATCATCGATGATATTCCTGATTTTGGTGGACTGGATTATGCATCCACTATGAGTGGGGAGTGAGAAGACAAAATACTTTGATAAAGCTATTAGCTTTAAGTAGCGAAATGTCGGCAAAAACAATATCGTTTTGTTTTTCATTCATTGGGAAATACAAAAACCTTTATTATAAAGAAATACTTCGGATCGAATTTGTTTCTTTAATTTTCTGTTAATGAATTATCACTAATGACCCATATGCACGAATTTGTTCACTGCATTTGAAATGATGTAGTATTTGTTCATACAGGCGAATTATGTCTTTCATCATTCTCATTTTTTCCAATAATAAAGGCTGTGAAGTCAACAACGATCACAGTAGATTTTGGAAACAGATCGTAAGCAATTACCCCACAACTGTAATTTTCTCACAGGCTAGATTTTCAAATAATTTCCTAATCTGACGACAAAGTTTTCGACGCAGAGATAATGTCAGACCAATATATTTGAGCCAACTACTTTCATGTTTCCAACGAAGTATAGTAAAATTAGATTTTACTAGTACACTAGCTAGATAAATTGTCATCTGCAGTCTGTCGCCTGATATCAGTAAGATTTATGACTTCAATACTTCAATCAAAACAAGTACGCCTTCAAACAAATATTTTCATAGTCCTTTACTTTTTTGTAATTTCGGTAGCCTGGAGATTACAATAAAGTTGTGAGACCAATATCGGTACTGTGTATCTCAATTTAATTAAATAATTAATAAGACCATTATTTTCTAAATTGAAAGCATTGTTTTATTCTGTGACGTAGATTAACGTCCAATCCGTACAAATCCACGTTTGCCAATACGAACAAATCCTTTTTTTCCCAGTTGAACAAAAGCTCTTTTATTGTTTAAAAATGGTGCTGATGACCGCTGTTGAAATATATCATTTTCATTAGCCAGTTCGAAAATTACTTCATTTTGTTCATCATCGTAAAGTAGTTCCTGTGGTTCCAGAATTAGTTTCTCATTATCACATATGAATGGTGGTGAACCATCATTACTTACAGTTGCTATACACCGACTTTTAGCTTGTACATGCACTGAGGCAATACAAAACATGTGATATGCAACATATAGTTGAATTGTTACAAGATGTATATATATCCTCATCTAAAATTAATGAACAATTTGGTAAGGTTCGTCCATAAAATGTTTCAAAATTCAGTCTATAGTAAAAAGTTTACAAGTGAGTCAAAAGTTTCACAATTATCAATATAACAATTGAAATAAAACTATCTAGTTTCATTTAAAGAGGTTGAAAAATTTGCAATTTTAAAGATTTTACATTGTTCAATAATGCGGAAGAAATTCATTATATGAGGTGATAACAGTATTTGTAACAGAAAGAGTGAAATTAGTTGATAAAACATAAAAATATTTTGAATAAGTGTAAGATATGTGGCCAAGTGGGTTTCGTATGCTGAACTTCCAGGACGTCAAAACAGTCTTATAAATCTTTCAATAAGGACCATTTTTTACATTTCCGAAGAGTTTGTAATTAAGATTAAAAAACCCACCTAGGGCTTTTTGGATTACTACGGTTTTCTATTTTGTATCTCTTTGTGACGTGAAGTCATGCTGAAAATATTCAACTTCTATTAACCCATTCATACTGAACTACAGAAGTTTTCAGTGTCACTAACACTGGCGATCCTAAGTCTCAAACTTTACTACATATCAGTTCATCATTATCAGGTAAGATACGATGACGAGTGTGTATAATTCTAAAATTAGTTCTTATTCAATGAATTCGAGTTAGGTAACGATAGCAATCCAAACGTTAATCACATAAAAATAAGCTATACGCATATTGCCTTAATATTCTTGTATCAGAAGATCATCTGATTACCATTACGCAATTATTCGAAGATCAAAAGACCGCTCATTTCAGTGCTACTGAATAAAGACAAATTTGGAAATTTGAAAAACTTAGGAATCCGAACGCAGCATACTCCAGAGAAATTGAGTCAAATTTAAACACTAACACAAGAACAGTATGCAACTTTTCAGATGGAGAACTTGAGGAGGGACTAAACTTTAACATAACTAGAAAACCACTGAAAGAGATAAGAATACCTCCTATCACTGAACCCGTTCTAACCCTTTTACCTGATTAAGACGCTAATGAATTGAGTCAGAAGGTCGGATGTATCCTATCGAATCAAAAGTAGGTAACCATAAATTTTTCTAGGAACGAATGTCATACATTACAAACGTTAAGATCAGACAAATCTATTGTCATAACTGAAGCCGATAAAGGCAGTGTCACTGCGATTCTCAATAGAGATGATTATGACAGGAAACCTTTGGAACATACCGAAGCGGATCCATAGGTCCTAGTATCAATAAACAAAATGTTTAGTACTATGAACAAAGTAAAAAAGTCGAAGTATATAGTCTACTTAGAGAATTGAAACCAAAACTAGGGAACTCAGTTTAGTTTTCAATACCTCCCAAAACAAACACGGCCGCGAGATTTTATGGAAGGCCGAAAATCCGCAAAACAGATGTTCCTTTAAGACCAATAATTGATTTCACCAATTCAGTAACATACACTTTATCAAAGCACATCAAGAATACTGAAACCATCTCAATAAAATATTCCTTCAAACATTAAAAATGTTGAAGAGTTTAAAAGGAAAGTAATGGATATAACTATTGAAGAAGATGAAATTATGGTAAGTTTTGATGTGGTTTCTCTATTTATTAATATTCTTATATGTGATTCACTTGATATTATAAAATATGAACTTGAAAACAATTAGGAACTATTAGCTAAATCTTCATTATCAATAGCAGAAGTTAAAAAAAGCTTAAAACTTTGTTTAGAATCTACATATTTTACCTTTAAAGACAAACTATACTGTTAGACAAATGGAGTTGCAATGGGTTCACCAGCATCTCCAATAGTAGCAAACCTGTATATGACAGCTCTAGAAAGGAAACCATTGAAAAGTTTTAGTTATCATCCTAGAATATGGTACAGATATGTAGATGACACATTTATCAAGAAGGCTGAAAAAGAAAACTTTCTAACAGATATTAACTTAATCTCAGAATATATAGAGTTTACTAATGAAGCGGAATCGGCTGAGGGAACTCTAAACTTTCTTGATTGTCTTGTAAAAAGACAAACTAACGAGAAACTAAAGTTTATCATATACAGAAAAACGACACATTCCAACAAGTATTTGAATTTCCGATCAGATCATGCGATAGAAAGGAAAGTTTCAGTAGCTTTAAATGTCGTTAACAGGGGTAGAAACATTATAACTGATAATGATGATGTGGAGATCGATAAATCCAATATAAAACAGATTCTGACTGGAAATGGTTACCCGAAAAAAGCTGCTAAATAATATTATCCATAAAAAGGACCTGAAGGGAAAACATAAAATTGAAAGATCTTGGGGATCGACTATAGCCACTCCATATCACAAGGACACAGCTGAACAGCATCAAAGAGTACTTGCTTCACATAATATTAAAGTTTATTTCAAGCCCTCTAATTATCTGGAGAAAGCTTTGATGAATGTCAAGGATATGGTTCCCAAAATGTCACAAAGTAGTTGTGTCTATAGGATAAAGTGTTCAGAATGTGAGGCTTGCTATGTAGGCGGAAGCAGTAGACAGGAGAAGGCCAGAGGGAATGAACATAGCCTGTGCACAAAATGTCCACCTAGAAGTGAAGTAGAAGTAAAAGTTGAGAAAAAAGATCAGCGACAGCAATGCATGCTATAGACAGAGGATATAAGATCGATTTGGCCAATGTCGAAATTCTACGGAGGGGCTTTCATTCGCATAAAGAAAGTCTGACCTTTGAAGACTTGAATATTTTATTCACTGTGATAAGTGAATTTCACATAAAACCAACAGTCTATTATCGCATAGCTAATAATAGCCGACTTCAGGGTGAGATGAAATTAACTTTATCGAAAAGATCAAATGGGCAAAACCACCAGCTCAACAACTATTCAACACCTCTTCAGGTATTTTCAAAACTACTCGGTCCCATAGTTCTTTATTTCTTCTTAAACAGAAACACCTAGTTGTTGCTATAATACAGTTGGGAAGACGCTTCCTTTTATTTAACAAAATAGTAACTGACTTCTATATTTATTAAATTATCATATTGAAGGAATAGTTCCTTTTCTTTACGCAAACAGTGAATATTGAAATAAAATTAAAGCTATATGAAACTGAAATCTAGCTAAAAAACAAGATAGCTACAGTATCAAAATTTCAGTCCTGGCAACATAAAGTTTGGTATAGAATTTAAGGGAAATGAGATATGTAGGGCGCATGTTAAACTTCATTTTCTGTCAATTTATGACCTAAGAAAAGCGAATTCCCATGGGTTGCCGTTTCTGTGTTGCCAAACTATTAAGTTATTATTTTACCATTCGTTGACAAAAATATCAGTAGTAATGACCTTTAAATCTGATCATATTTCAAAGAAATCCAATGCGTACTATGCAGAAATACACTTTAATGTTATTTACACTGTGAATTCAACCAACTGCCATAAGTTGCGTTGAGTTCAGGCTGATTTTTCTTGGTAATATGTTCAGTTTCTTGAAGATATTACTGCTATCACCTTAATGTATAAACATGTACAGCATAATAAAAGCCTAATAAGGTAGAAGTAGATGTCTGAACTAAGGGTGAGATGAGAAGTTTTAATATCGACGTCTAAATGAAATAGGAAAATAAACCGTTACGTATGGATATTGAATGAATGACAGAGAACGTAAATATTGGATTCTCAGTGTGCCGCGTTGATCAAGTAAAATGATTAAACAGCACTAGATAGCCCTATACACCTTGTATTTCTCATTGTAATATGTTAAAAAAGCAAATTAAATTGAAATTTCTCTTTTTTTTTTAACTCTTTCGATCTTTTTTAGTCTAAAGCTTCGTAATAACCTCTATTTAAATAAATCACAATATTTCAGTGTTGGACACATACCTATTACATATACTATACGTCCCCTGATGAAAATTAAGTTGACGTTTTTTTGTCTCTAACTAAATTTTCTGTACTTGTAATCAATATTCAGAAAATCTATCTTATTACCAACGTGTTCAATCTCGGTTTCGAGTACATAAAACTCTAGATAGAAAGCTTTCTACGAATTACGGTAACTCTGTACGACTCAGTGAATTTTCCTGCTTGCCTTGTAATCAACTGAAGAAGCCATTATTTTTAATGTTATCTATACCTCCATAAATGCTCATGAACTTTCCAGATCCCAAACTTCATTGACTAAAGTATCTCCTTTACCAGTCACTGAACATCTACTTTAAAGTAACTTGTCATTTGACTTTACGTCGGTAGAGGAAAAATATTTTATGTAAAGGCCGTATCAGGAGATAAACAGTTTGTTCGCTGACAGCAATGCAGATGTATCGTTTGAATATGTGAATTCAATTTTGTAACTCTTAACTTTGATAATACTAACAAATGTCAGGCGACTACAAATTCATCATACACTTTGGAATTTGATGTTCGGAGGCAATCGGCAGGAAGCCTCAAACCTAGGTTTCGTACTAGCTGGCATTCATCAGCAAGGTGTATCAGCAACCCTGAATGGAACTCATGTCACCCAGTGCTGCAGTCAGAGACGTTGCCAGTGAGCTATTCGGGGTGGCGATTGACCTCCTGTAGGACTGTATTGTACACTTCATGATAGGAACCAGCATAATACAGTATATCATCCTTTCTCACGCACATTGTGATTTATTGTGTAGTTAGTCATTTCTCACGGCTGAGACGACTTTATTTTGTTAAATAAAATGTATAAATATGATGTTTCTTTCCTAACAAATATACGGTATCTTACTTTCACAGACCAGCCTTTGTCTTTTGATATTTGCGTGGCTCAGTGAAGCAGAAGGTACAACGGACAAACAGGCGTATCAGTCGAGTTCATTACCGTTATAACGATAATCAGCGCAGATATAACACTTTGATTGGGCACTAGTGTATCTGCCAAGTGAATCCAACCAACCAATATCAACAATTCACAGTGCACCGTGATGGCAAGCCATTTAGAATGGTGGTCACGTAACAAACTTGACTGATAAAATTTAGTCCCCACCAAACAAAGAATTAGACATATTACACTAGTTAATGGAAGTGTTAAAGAGTTGTTGTGTAAGGATTAGATTTGCTTCTCCAGTTTGACCACCGATTGTGATAGAGAGAACCAAGTCCTAAACTAGGATGAAACAGCTGTCCAGTACTCCCTGGTTTTCAATGGTTGTCTACCTGATATCACTCCGTGGAAAAACTCGAAAAATCATACCAAAGTATTTTGAAATTTGCGTATTTATAAAAAACCAAATGAATTTATCAACAAAACCACAAAATTCAACTCATAAATTAGTTCTATGAAATAATTTGGGGAGGAGTTGGTGACTGTAATCATAATGAATATTTCAAATTAACTGTCATGCTGAGTAACCGAATAAATGTGTATTAACTACGGACCGAATTAACCACATTAACAAATACAGAGATCCACTCAGAAATTCTGAGACAAAGCAAAGCATTCGACTGACATGATGTACTAAGTAACCTGAGAGTATCAATGATCCATTGAAGACCTAAATAAATCCTGTTTGAAGAAATCTGTTTATATATATATATATATATATATATATATATATATATATATATATATATATATTGACATTTATTCATTTTCTAAAAGTAATAAACATACGTTGCAATAAACTGTTGACCAGGACAAAAACAAAAGAATAAAATTAATAGATTTTGACTTTTCATAGTAGTTAAGTATAAACTTGGTGAAATTAACAAAAGCCTCAGAAATGAATACACAGACACCAATATTCATAATGCCGATACTTAAACGACACGTACACCTAAATCTATTGGTCTTTCCCGTTTATGTGAATATAAGCAATTCACTTTTATTAATACTATAGCTGGATTTAATAGTTCAGGATACTGTCTAAATTCTAGTTATAGTACTAATACAAAATGAACATAATTCTCAGTGTTTCAGCATGACTCCTAATTCAATTAGAAAGTAGAACATGAATTTTTATTTGTAGATTTTCTCATATTATCATGTGACTGTTGTGTACACATTTTAAACTGCCTATGAAAGTGTCTTAAGGTAGAACTTCAACCTATTCACTTGATTTTTATTTCCATACAGCTCTGACCGTTTTAAAGCTGGAATCATTTAATGTAAGTACTTTAGTGTTTATAATATTACTTTTTTATTTGTGGATTTATAAATGAAGCAGTCTAAATAAGAAGTAATTGAAAACAATCGTTCCCTGTGATCATTACTCTCCTGAATAAGTTGTTAGTACACTAAGTCTCATAATGGATAGCATAACATGAATACCACTTACCTTTCACAAGTGAGAATGTTAATGTACTTGCTATATAGTTATTTTTGTAGTATATCTCTATAGTACAGAAAATTTATAATAGAAAGGTGGGAGAATAAGAAATTTGTCACTGAGTACTGAGAGGTTAACGGTTTGCAGAAATATCACAGGAAGATATAAATAAAAAAAATATCAAAATAGGTAGATCAAATTATTTCATCGACTTGTAACTATTATTAGTAAATCAAAAAGAAATAATTATAGATTAGCGAAAAAAGCAGTTGTAAAAAGACAGTCTTTAAGTAGTAGTGATGTGTCATTTCAAACTGTTGCTTCCTCAAATAAACATAAAGATTTTATATTTCACATGTCCCACTTCCTAATGATCATGACCAGCGATTTGGTCACATTTCTTCGATAGCTTATTACAAGAATTCGTAAGTACTAACCGTCGCAGTGTTCATGTGGACTGTGACAGTGTTTAGAACTTATTCATTACAATTTAATTAGATGTTCACTAAATTAGTCATCCTAAATTACAATTTACTTATGTCTAAATATAAAGACTGCTTTGTCAGTGATTACATTTCATTGTTATATTCAGTAACTGGATATTTTAGATGACTTTCTAAAGAGATCCTAAGCATTTAGCATTCATAGAAATATATGGGAATGTGCATTCGAGTCAGTCGATAAGAAATAGTATGCATAGATGTGTTGTAATCCCTTCGATTTTGTGAACATTGTGAATTCATTTAAGAAACACCTCCTTACTTGAATAAAATTATGACTAGGTATCGCCATAATAGACAACAATTAAGGAAAAAATATGAATATGCTATTAACTAAAATTGACAATCAATAATAAAACATCCTCCTTTAATAAACCTCGAGGGAAGACATACTGTATTATGATGAATAATCTACGAATTAAGAACACTTGATTTCAGATAACAACTAAAAATAGATAACATAAATACTTACACTTCTTTCTGTTTTCCGTAAAATCAAACGTTTATGTGTGTCTTCTTTTATTTTAAAACTAAATTCCAATATACTACCGCAAAAACAAACTCCATCTTTATATACAATTTAGATGAGTAATGCCATCGTATGATTGGTAAACCGTATTTAAAGGAAATGTGATCACTTCGATTGAAACTGAATGACCTTTTGAAATTATTTTTTCATTAATTCACTTTGAAAAATTTGCCATAATAATATAACCTGAGCAATTAATTCATGAAGTGAACGCATTGCAGAAAGTATTCCTGAGGATAGGAGTCTTTGTTGGGGAAAACAGTGATTTGAAACAATAGTGTCCTGAGTGATAAATCTAAAGGACTTATAAAAAAATGCTTCATAACTTCTTGTCCCGGTATTATTATAAAATAACCAACTTAGGCAAACGGTCAAAAGGCAAGTTAAAGTATCACAGTACATGAATGCTAACTCATCTATGACTTGGAACGTCTACTAGTCGTTGGATAATTGGACTTACCATTGTTACAACGATATTACGGATGGTATTTACTAGTTGAGGTGCAAATTTCACCAGGATCTCATTTTTAACTCCTGTTCAGATACTGGGTTAATACCACATAACCGTGAATATCCTTGTGGTGCTACTATGTACATCCAGCAGTATTCAGAAGCAGGTGATGGACATGTATTCAGGTGTACACAGTGTAGGAAACGAATTAGTATTTGTAATAATAATTTACGCACTCACTGCATTCTTTTCTAAATCGATACTGCAACTGACGAATATACTATTTACCTGCCATTATTGGATATTAAAGATTGGGGTGAGATCAACGGCTGTACAAACATAAAACTCATTAGTATCCACTGTGCAATGGTCCTACTGTGGCAGAGATATAGCGTCCTGGAAGATGAATACTATCATGCGGCTGTTGGGAGGAGTTAGTGTTATTCTTTACATTGATGAAACCGTTTTGATAAAAAAGAAATACAACCTTATTCCTCCTAATAATGTCTGGGTTTTGGGAATTTACGACACAAAGCTTCAGAAGAGAATTAAGGAGCTAATTCACAATCGCAGTGCCGACACTCTTCTACCTATTAAACAAGGGTTAACCAATCCTTTTCATACAGATTTAGATCGCATTTATTACCGAGTAAATCATTTTGATGATTTTCTCAACCTCCTTACTATAACCCACACTAGTCCAATCAAGGGCTTCTAGGGAAAACTGAAAAACAGGATAAGAGCAATAAACGGGTCACAAAAAGAATTTGATGAATACATGTACTGCTTTAACTTAAAAACTGACACTCGCCATTGGAAGATATTCTAGGATCAAGTCAGGGAAAAATATTTTCTTTAATGTGTTTTTCTTTGTACTTCACTTGTAAATATACATCATTTTTATGGGAAAAAACCACTAGCTTTTCTGATTGGATCTTCCGTGCTTTTGAATTCCATGGACTGCCATTGTTTAACTTTGCCCAGTAAAATAAGTTTTTTCAGAAAATTTAGTGTTTCACCTTAGTTCAGATGTATGTTTTTCCACAATGAATACTTTCAGATTTTGGGTTTTGTATTTAATTGGATTATTTCATCATGAAACAACAGTTAGAGAATCATTGATCGCCAAGGGGCAGTGGACATTCCTTCCCTTCTAGTTCGAAACTTTTCATCAGTCCGCACCCATGATTCACCAGGTGTATCGACAGAACCCAAGAAAATTCTGTTACGGAATTATTCACTGGCACCACGATACACAGATGCAGGCAATACGTTTACCATATTTTAGAATCGCAATTCGCACTGATCTTCGATATTGTGCTACTTTGTCTTCAATTCATGTTTCACAAGCATCGTTTCCCAAGGGAAATTAAATGTCTCCGTGAAAATCGGAAAGAAATATCATTACCACTATTTTTATGAATATTTCATGACGCCATGATCTGCCTCATAATTGTACATGCATGAAAATTCAAATGTCTCCAGTTTCATACGTCGAGTTCTGTTGTCAACACAATCTTGTGTCAAGTCAATCAGTCCCATGTGATTTACTGCACAGTTATCTACAGGGCAGAATTCACCCACTTCAAAAGCTAATCCTTTTCACTCTTAATTATTTGAAAAGACAGTTGCAGCGAAGAAAATTTTCTTTTCGACGAAGTTCAACAACAACTTACACCATTACTGACCAGTGTTACTCTTTTTATTATTTCCTTCACGTTCCCAGAGGAACAAAAGGGCTTCAAGCTAGTGGCTTGAAGTTTCCGTAGCAGTGTTTACTTTAACAGGATGAGGTTGCTAGTCTCATGCCCAACCTTCCCTCTTTACCAGTCTTATTGCTGGTTAAGTGAGATAAAGAAGTGCGTCGGCCGGGGATCGAACCCTGGACCGTGTGCATGATCGGCGAGCATGCCACCGATGCACTGTTACTCTTAGTTCCAATCAATTACTCCTTATCATCGTAAAAGGGTAAGCTGAGACCTTTAAGTAGATTTATAATTTTGCTATTGTTCAGGTTGTAACCAGTTGAGGAGAATGCACGAAACAATACGAAAAAGAGCTCAGATTATCCTGGAACATTTGTCGTACTTGCTTTATCCAAAAGTTTACTTTTTCGTTTCATATGTATATATAATGCATAAACAATTTTTGTCATATGTTTACCAACTGAGCAATTTTTAGCTCCACCTATTGCCATTCGTACGTAATATAAATACGACTATACACCTTGAAAATGAAGTCGCTAAGTGGAAGTATTTCAATTCAATTTATTCCATATGGTGGTGAAGTTGACTTCCTGTTTACTTAGAGTATGTGCAGCAACTATGAGCTTGAGTCTCATAAATTGTTTATATTTAATTCTATTTCAGTGTTGTTATTTAAGTGTGTAGCTTATAAAATCACTTTTCTGTCTTAATTCCTCTTATATATGAACTTGTTGAATGAACATGAACAGGAAGACTGTTGATAAATGCTGTTTTGGTTGGTTTTGTTAACTGTTAAGTTAATATAAGCTGGTTAATATTTTACTGTTAATTGATATAAGTGGCATAAAACCACTAATGCATCTTAATAGTATATTACATAGATAACTTCAAGCCGATAAAATATCCTATATTATTAGACTGAATAATGTCAAATTAAATATTATTACGATGACCTACTTTTCAAGCACTGAATACGAATCAGCGGACTTATTAATTTGTATGTAATCATCTTTTGCATATATATATATATATATATATATATTGGTCCTACGTTATGCATCGTGATCACAAAATAAGACCAAAAATTGGGATTTGAATACATAGTTTACACTTTATGTCCATACTCTTTATTCATGCTAGTTATAGTGATAGATCAGTCCTTGCGTTATGGACGCTTATAGTCCTATCAGCCTTGTTGCTTGACTGCTGCGGTTATAAACCTAAATCGCCTAAAATAAAAGCGACCTAATACTCAAAATTATCATTTTTAATCAGCTGAAATCATCCCCTATCCTGAAATGAATGACACAATGCATTCAACAGAAAAAACTGAAAAGTAACATAAAACAAATCCAGATTACATTTTTGATGACGTCAACCACAGTGGTTAAACTGATGTTTTTACCAAAACAAAAATGTTAAAACACTATAATAATCAAGTTTATTTTACAGCCACAACTTCCTTCAATGGAGAAAACTTAGTACGTCTGACATGAAAAGACCTCTCAAAGGTTTATGTAAATACACAAAGAACAAAGTATCTCTACAAAAAAAAACATGAACTAGTACTGAATTTGCTGCAGCCTATATACATTCGATTAGTGCGTTACAATTGCTTAGTTACATAAAACCCTCATTTCTCTGGTGTTACTGACCACGAAGTTTTGGAAATTATTGCAATTCGTTTACTTTCGAACACTAAACCTGTGGATATAATCTTGTTGACTACTAATACCTATAACTAACTGTTTGGCATTTTGTGACTTTTTAACACTAACTCATATCTACAATTGTATATATTGTTGGATTTACATGTTCAAGTTGGCTCAAGTCAGTAAGTCTATGACTTTGGTATCATTTTGCTTAACTGTGCTTAAATTTGACATTTTTATTGTTGTCGCTTGTTGCCCTTCTTACCCTGAATTATTTTCCTTTCGCTGGTGTTGTTCTGATTGTTTTATTCCTTGTTTTCCAATTTTAAGGGGAGCAGCCCAAAAGGTCGCTTCTCTCTAAACTACATCTTAATGTAACAATTCCCTTCTTAGGCGTGAGGCTAGCAACCCCACCCTGTAAACAAAGTTGCTACGGAAACTTCAGTCCGATGAATCTCCTTGCACCAAAAGAAAAGTCTGTGTGGGGACATGGAACGTCCGCGCCATGTACGAGATTGGCAAGACTATCCAGATCGCAAACGAAATGAAACGATATGTGAGAGCAGATGGAACGGGAATGGACTCACTAAATTGTCAACGGGTGAGTCAGTGATCTACTCCGGTCACCCAGAAGATAACCACATGCACACTGAGAGCGTGGCTATCATTATGCCACCAACGGAAAAAAAGGCCCTGATGCAGTGTAAGGCGATCTCGCCCAGGATAATGACCGCCAGATTCAACTCCAAAGGGAGGAAAGTGTCAATTATACAATGCTATGCAATCAAAAACAACACAGACCTCGAAAAGAAAGAATTCTACAGACAACTACAGGCAGCAATGGGCAATACGCCAGCTGGTGACATTAAAATACTAGTGGGAGACATGAACGCCAAACTGGGACCAGACAACACAGGAAGGGAATTCATCATGGGTAGAGCTCTCGGAGAAATGAATGAAAATGGAGAACTCTTCGCCTCCAACGAACTAGTGATTGGTGGCAGTATATACAAGCACAAAGATATCCACAAGGCTACGTGGGTGTCACCAAATGGGCGAACCAAAATGACTTATTCTCAATGTTGCTCAAGGAAGTGGAGGCGCAGCCTACTGGACACATAAGTAAGAAGAGGAGCGGACGTTGGCTCAGACTACTATCTCGTACAAGGGACAAAATAAAAGCCTTCAGGGAACCAGGAGCTGCAGACAGACCACAAGCCAAGTTCAACACTCAAAAACTGAAGGACCAGTCCACAAAGGACATCTTCACTGCAAGCATAAGGGAAAAAGCCGAGACACAAATCAACACTAGCGAAGAGGTCGGCGTCGAAAAGCACTGGGACAACTTAAAAACGGTGTGGAGTCAAACCTGCATGGAAGTTCTAGGCAGAAAGAAGAGACAGGACAAACAGTGGCTCACTACGGACACTAATACCACAGCTTGTGCTAAAATCTATAAAAATAGATTTTCAGTTTTTTACACGAATGTGTTGGTGGTAGTAAATGGCTAAAAATCATCATTTAATTAATTATAATATTACTGCCAAAATGGTAGATTGTTGTGCTTTCAGCGTGAACTCACGATTCCAATGAAACCAGATGGAAGTCAACAGGCACGCAGAAATTCACATCTTGCCCAGAATTATCCATGAATTTGCACGCATGATATAATGATCAACGAATTTATTCAATACATTATTATTCCTATGAATTCGAAAAATTTTTTTCATACTTAATATCCAATTGCATTATTTAGCAATATGAACTGTTTTCAAACAAATAACATACAGTGCGCGATATTAAGTCAGAACTTTTATGAAATATGTTAATTTATTCACTAATCAGCAGATTACAAATTATATTTGAGGTCAAGGCTAGGTCACAAACATCAGAACATTTCAATGCATTGACACGATATTGTGACTACTGAATTTTGGAGAAGGAGATTAAATCACTTGTACTGATTATTTGGTTTGAATAACAGTGACGGTGGCAAACTGACCATCTGTATACCTTCGGGAATACGGAACATTTCTGTCTTCTCAGAAGGCAAAAGGTGACTACGCCTGGTTAATATTTTCGCTTCCAGTATTCGTATTTGATTATCAATATTACCTTCTGAACTTAGATGGCTGGTGTAAGATGAAGCAATAAACTGATCGTCTGGACTAATTAGCTAACAAATGTGACCTCACTAGCTTTTTTCTCCAAAATCTGGATTTCTTCTACAGTGAGATGAGAATACTTGCACAAAACACCGTAACTGCAAGAACCTGAACATGAATACATACATTGTAAAGTTTAGTTAACAACAGACGCACCTGAATTACGGAAAGAAATACATGGTTTTTTGCCTTTTTCTATATCCAGCCTTTCTTTGGGATCTAAAAGATAAAATCATACCTCAGTATATGAAAATAATTTCCACAATACCGAGAAATTTATCATAGTGTACCTTCCGTGCCTGCTGATGCTGAACACCTTTAAGATGGTTTCTTCGATTAAATAGGCTGTCTGGAAATGACTTATCACAATAGTCACAGATGAAACGTTTACCCATTCACACCGAGTAATCTAAAAAAACGGGGTATTTAACGGGTGTTGTAGGGAAATAGAGTAGAGCATAAGCCATATAATTCCTCATATTTCTGTTATAAAAGAGATTATTATATTACAGTTTATTTTTACTAACTTTCGAAAGCAGAAATACTATTTTTACAATTGCCTACGCGTATTTTTGTACCGGGAAAAATGGAAGACTGAATAAAAAGTATATCTTTGTTGTCTAGAAAGAGAAACAACAATGTACAAAAGAAAACTGTGTTCAGTGATGACAAAATTAAGAATGAGAACTATGAAGAGGTCCATAAAGAGTACAATAACCAGTTACATAGCAAACCAAAACAGAAAAAGAAGCAGTATACTTTGAAATCAAAACAGATGCAGATGAAAATTGATTAAACTGTACACAACACATCGTTACTGGTGAAAAAGAAAAAATATATGGACAAAGTATAATGAGAAGTTGAAGATGCCTTTTATAAAAACAGTGCCATAGGCACCGAAATGTTGGGGGTGGCGGGGGGGGTGAACTAACAAGTAACACAAAAGAGTTAGATCTCGGTGTAAACGGTTCCTTCATTGGTCAAACTGACTTTCTCGCGTTAACCAGAACTGGTGACACTTTCTTCTGAGTCAGGTCTATACATAAATACATAAAACAAAAGGAAAATTAGAAGCGGTTGACGTAAAAGCATTTTAAAGACTTGATAAGTTTTACCCATTGAAATGTTTACCAGTTTATGATGTATATGCAAAATGAAATTCAGATAACCATTTCAGTGTAACAACACTCGTATACTTAAACGCTGATATAATACTTTCAAACAACACAACAAAGGATCAATTTCTAATTCGGCCCAAATTTCATTCACTCTTTCCCAGCAGGAAGAGTCTGTAGTATTCTGCAGCTATCGTTATGGTTCTGCCTGATGTGGCCTCCCATTCAAGAGTAAGCACACATAAATAACCGATTACGGCATATCTCGCCAATCTACCTCCTCCCACCACCACCACATCCTTCGGATGTGGTGGTGTACATAAGCTTCCTAGAGAAACACCCAGATACTGAACGAGCACATATTACGGATTGCTTACACCGAGTTAAATCACTGTAAATGCAATCCTAAGGCCCGACAATTAGTTTGGACATACTTAGAAATCATCTCCTGATAAACGATAAAGGATAGTCATGTTCGATGCATCAATAATCCCAAAATGAGTGTTCAAGAGATCATGGGACTTAATGGCTTGAGTTGTTATCATACATGCTTCAGAACTGAAATCAATAGGTAGCACGCTGAGATTCCGTTCTTCCTATCTCTGAAAGTAACGTGAAGCGCCAATGCTCTTCTAAATACTCTCAGTAAGTATATGCACTTTTTCTCATTGTTGTCGATTAACCACTTCATTTGCTTGTTGTCATTTGTGTAGTGCATCTCTACCAAGTTTGTTTCAAATAGTAACAAGCGCAGCACGCTCATACATTTCTGGCTATGCAGCTTCTGATGTTTACTGTCAGAAATCGAGTATCGTGACGCATAAGTTATCAACACAGACGCTCAATCATCCTAAATTTGATCTTTTTAATTTAAAGTGATAATGGAAACTATGCAAAATGAACATGTGAAAGTGACAGTTAGGACCCAATTATGAATTACGGACCAAAGAACTCGAACTCAGATTACAATTACCCTTTGCTACTGCCTTGTGCACGGAGCGGACTAGCTTCTCTGGGACGTCCAGTACCGAATATTGCGCGGGCGCGTTCTGATAACTGCCTATTATCATTTGTGTTTACGGGGGCAGTTCTAGGTTTAAGATTTAGTCGCGGTCGTTCTGTGTTTGAATTATCAGCGCTTATTTCGCCACATCTTAACTGTGGATTTGTTTGATTTGATTCTTGTGGTTGTTCACGCGAAAGTCCAGGCGGATGATAACTCTGTCTTTGACTTCCAAATCCCCTGCGGCCTCCAAATCCACCTCGACCTGGTCGACCGAAACCTTCTGATTGCAGCAAAATAGAGAGGAGACTTTTTAAAAATAAATCATACACAGATTCCTCTGTATAAATTCAGAAAGGGAAAGAACACACACAGAAGCAGAACAACATGAGTTCATCTCATGTCGTGGTCTCTCTTTAGCTATGTACAACCTGTAGCATTTAATTCGAGTTATATTGCAATTATAACATACTTTTGTTTATCAACAGAAACATGTTTTATTCTGCTCAAAATCTTGCTTTTACTTTTACACTTCATCATGAACTACAATAAACTATGCAAAATGTACTACAGTTCAAATTACTAAATTTCCATACGGTACAAAACATGAAGTCCACAAAACACTAATCAAGTGCAGGAACATATAGTGTTATAAGGAATGTGGATATAAAATTTTCCCATCATCAATTAGCTAAATTGGGCGTCGGTAGCATAGCGGTTAGGACGTTCGCCGACCATGCACATGGTCCGGGATTTGATCCCCGGCCGACGCACTCCTTTATCTCACTTAACCAGCAATAAGACTGGTAAAGAGGGAAGGTTGGGCATGAGACTAGCAACCTCATCCTGTTAAAGTAAACACTGCTACGGAAACTTCAAGCCACTAGCTTGAAGCCCTTTTGTTCCACTGGGGATAGTGGAATATAGAAGAATTAGCTAAGTTATTTAACTTCACTCATATTTATCCCTATATTACAAAGATCATTTTTCACACATCATTCACACAGAAGCAAAAATATCTGAAATCGTTAACGTTTGGATGGATTACAGATGTTGACATCAAATACAAAAAAACAGATGAATGTGGATGACAAAAGTATCAAACTTGAGCACTGTGGTAGATCATAACTCCATTATGGATACTTACTTCTTTTCACTATGGATACGACTTTATTTTGATAAAATCATACAGTATTATAAGGTAATATCAACCGATGAGGTTTCGGGCAAACTATTGCTCATATTAGAAACAAGACATATAAGCGAACAATAGTGTTTTCAATTAGATCTTCATGCTTTACTCTAATTCACATAGACTTATATATATATAAAATTTTAACCAATGACGGTGATTTTGTGGATCAAATAATAATAATGATGTGGTAAATGTTTTAAACGAAGTTAATAACGATGATTATAATAATAACAAAATATTGATAATAAGGCTTATATAGGTGATAAGAATAACAAAGTTAGTACATGCATACATGTAGAAAACTCAATAAATAAATAAGGTCAAATCAAATGGAACGATAATCAGAGTTTAAATAAATATCATAAAAGTACGAAGGATAGGGATGATATGAAAGGGTGGGAGGGTTTTGAATAGAATTCACCTAGGCCAAGAGAGAGACAAAGGTAGACCAAATTTCTTTTGTATACAAAGACTAGGATTGTTCTCTCAAATTCCCATGGCTTCGGCTAAGTGTAAAAGACGGGTTCTGATTCCTTTTTTTTTGATTTACAGCTTGATTCCACACCGTATTTTTGGAACACGTATGGAATTTTCAGCGTGGATATCGGTAGCCCAAAATTCGCAGGCCAACCATAGATATCCGGCGTGCGTCGGCGTGGCCTCGGACCCCGGACCATGTGCATGGTAGGCGAGGATCCTAACCACTGTGCCACCGACGCACTGATTTCTGATTCCGTTCGAAAGACCCGATGGAATGCGGTAAATAACTATTTTTGTCCACTTGGTGACCACTATCAATCAAATGAGCCAAAATAGAACTTCGTATGGATTTTATTTGACCTTTTCCAGACCATGAAGGAAGATGCTAATTAATGCGTTTGTTGCTCATATTCATATCAAGTTACACTACTTTTTTCCTTCATTTATATACATGTGTGGAATTGACTAGATATATGAATATAAATCAGTGTTTTCATAGTCATAATAATTAACTCGTTAGAATGCTGTGATGTGCTTGATTTGAAATAGAATTTTGAGATTATTTATTATCCTTTTCTGATTTCAGTGGCGGTAATAATATCTTCCATATTTCTGATATTTGCAATGAGTCATTTCTATTGCATGTGTTGGGTGTAAACTCAATGAACCAGGATTCAGTAATCAATCCCCCTCTCCATCCACATAGATTACTTCTTAGAATCTTAACCTTCTCCCACCCTATTGTGTGGTTGTATGTTAATGCATGTATTCAAATATCTAGTCAATTCTACACATGTATATAAATGAAGGAAAAAGTTGTGTAACTTGATATGAATATGAGTTTGCTCGAAACCTCATCGGTTGATATTACTGTATAATACTGTATGATTTTATCAAAATAAAATCGTATCTATAATGAATGTGGACGATCCGAAAACAATGGGTCGACAAAAATTTGGTTTAGAGATCACTTTGACTCGGTCAACTAATACTCTTTCGTAAAGAAATTACTTCCAAGAGATCTTATTGTGACAGTATTTCATGAAAGCTGCAAATAACAAATATCTACATAATTTTCTCAAATTTCGCAATGCATACTTTGTGTTTTATTCTTTTTACCCCACTTCATATGGCAATCCAACAAGCACTTGTACATCAGATATATGATCTAATTAATAGTCATTAAAATACGCTAATGGTCAGTGGAAATTAAATCATCCATTCACACGCCAAATATCAATCTTGATAATCTATATAAAATTTTTGGTACTAAATAGGATCGGATCACAAAGCAACTACAGTCGCTAAACCTTCTGTTATAATATTCGTTATTTGATGCGAAAACAGCTTCATAAAGATTTGAACAGTACGTTTTGTGAGGAGACACCTAACTAAATAAACTTCGATAGCTCTTCCTGATGAGAACCATTGTGAAGATTCTAGGACACCTTTTCAGCGTTATAGTACCATAACTATTCGCTCCTAGGCAACGCTTGAAGATGAATATATGCTATGATTACACAAGTTTATTGCAAACAAAGAAAAACCAAAAGCACAATGAGACTATAACTTCAGGTAAAAAGTACTAGTTCCACTACCTGTTCTACCACCACCCATGCTGGGTCTGCCACGTGGATGGTTACCAAAGCCGCCCCGTCCATAACCATTGTTCATGCCAAACTGCCCCCCATGGCCTTGACCTCCACCTTCAAAGGTTAACCGATAAAAAAGTACAAATAATGATGAAATGCATACGCAAATAAAATCTACACTTAAAAGACTTACTTCTCCGCATCATTTCAAACAATCCTACACTGAATCAGATAGAGTATCCTGTTAAGCATCAATAAAGAATGGGTTTTTTCTTCGTTTAAAGAAATATGAGGAACAGGAGTAACTCAAGTTATTAGGTGTTTATTTAAATGGAATGTCCGCTTTTAAAAAACAAAGTGACTTTGAACTTATGGTTAAATGGGTGGTTTGTAAACAGAAGTCTGGACTTTTGAGCCATACATCTCTGTCTTTAGAAACTAACTCTCGGAGAAATCCAGAAACATACACTCATTTGAAACCAAACCAAGCACTAAATGAAATCACAAACCTTGGTATTTACGCTCTATGCAGCAGTTCAATAACACAGGAACGAAGGGGATTTTTTAATGTGTCAAAACAATGATCACTGCAATCTGTGAGCTCATTTGCAAACTAAGTATATTTCTTACATTGATCTTCTTTTGATTTTGCTATCGGTGTGTGGCGTCTATATGGGACTGAGTATTTCATCACACTACAAATGCTACTTAAATAAGCAATGGCCAAAAAACCTCGATTTTATACCTTGTAACTTCAGTTGATTGCCTTTGTTATCTAGCACAATGAAATATTCTTTGTAGTTGGCGTTGACTGTATGGATTTGGCATATCGTGCCCAATTTCTAGACTAGCTGCATCGCAACCTATTAAACAACATAGAGGACATCTAGCTCCCAAGTAACGCAAACTCCGAAAGTATCCTCAATGACTAAAAAGTCACTGAACGGTTTGGAATTCATCCACGTAATCTAGCTCTGGGTAATTTTTCATAACAACTGCGTTGCTGTGAGCAAAGTTAGATGCACCTAGAAGAATCTGGGTGTCTAATGCCAGCTGAACAACCACCTTCTTATGCAGTGATTAGTTACACAGGATTAGGTTAGAAACAGTTAAAGGTGACACTTAGCATTTAACTGGTGATGTAAGCCATTTAACATGCTGATTGTTTGGACACGACTGACACCTGCTGTCTTAGTGTGTAGGCTTGAATACACCAATGATCAAACGAGCCATGCTGAGCAGAACGAATGATGTTTGCAGATCAACCTATGTCAGAATGGCTAGATAGCCGTTAGATTTAAAGCAGTCTACATCAAAGCAAGTTATTCGATTTGCGCTATGGGCGTTAGTATGAAGTGGTCCCTGATGCGAGATGAAGTTCCACCTCTCAAACAACCCAAAAGTTTCCGCCGTGGGAAGTTAAGCGAGGCCAATGAGAATAGTGCACATGCCGACATACACCGCAGCTGTCTGTGGCTGGTGGTAAAGTTTTCCGTACAGAAGGAAATATAAAGTCTGAAAAATGGCTCCATTCGGCAGGTTGCAAACAACTAGTTTTAATAAATCTACAGTAATATTGCACTGAAGCTTTCATTATACACAGATACTGGTGCAAGCCATCTTCGTTGAGTCATATTGTGGTGAATACTGGCTGCTAACCAAAATTGGTAGATAGTAATTTACGTCAATGTGTACGTCCCCAATATTGGTCATGAGAAAAATAAGAACAACCAATCACAGCAGACTTTGCATAGGCGGATACAATTCGCAGATAGATAATCTGAACTTCAATAAACGGCCACAAAGAGATGAAAGATTAACGTTCAGCGAGAAACCACCAATCAGAAGGCTGTATTTGTTTGCTTACAATAATCCATAATAATGTACATGAAAATCTATAAATATCGGTTGATTTCCTAAATAAACGATGTTACCTGGCTTTTGTCTTCTGTTGTTTCAATATTACTAGACCCACACTTAAGCATGAAGTTGAGATCAAGCATCACATGCTGTACGTCTCGTTTGAAATTTAATAACATCTGGCGGATATTACCTCAGCCAACCATCAATAAACGCTTCCAAGACTGGGAGGTTGGCTACTGCTGATCAAGTGTTAGCTTATGAAAGAGTGTGACCAATTTATTCTACTAGTGTTTTTATCAAACTCATAGGAAGTTGTTTAGTCGGTTGTTCCACCTGCTTGTTCTTCCTAAACAGTCGTCAAGCATCGATGACCGACAAGGTGCTATAAATAAGTGTATGTGCCAGAAACCTGACATGCACCTTAGGACATTCACAATAAAACTCGACTGCTCATCAAACAAAGATGTGGCTCACTGGCTGGACACACAGTCAGCGGGTCCCGGCTACAAATCCCGCTCCACCTATTCCAATCTCGCTAATGCATCGTAAAAATGCAGTCCTTTCAGGGTAACTGAGTTATAATAATAGCTCAATGCTCACCATCTCTTCCCTATGCAGAGAATAAAATTGGGCTTTCCATTATGAATCTACTTGCATTACATAACTAGGAGACTATACAAACTCGCTGGCCTTTAGTGCGTTGCAATTGAAAGTCGCTGCTTAAACCAGTTTTTACCACTAGTAATGATAATCACACTGACTTAAGTGGGCGGGAGAACAGTTGTAACGGTGACGATGAGCTTCACTAAGATCGAAGTCAATAATGTAAATTTAATGGTAACCTCATTACATTATACCATTTAACCTTCCTGCAAAGCTCACATTTAAGTATACACGTGAATGGACTAATATATTATCAAAGTAATTCGCCCAGTCTAGCTCAAAACGTGCACTTCAAAAATATGACAAGGCATCAATGCCTGAGATGTCATATTTCAAGTTATTAGGACTTGTCTTCTACCGACATGCGACCCGAATGACGAAAGCTTAAACATGAAATCAGCGGTTATTCTGGGCAACCATAAGTCGGAATTGTGAAACATAAAACATTAATAGTAGCTGAAATACGGGAAATTTTAGATTTAGAACTGATTGTAACGAGGAACTTAAGAGTGCGATAAAATGGGTTTCAAATGTTGTCAGACGAGCGGAATGTTGCTGCTTTCTAAAAATCCAAGTTGGTTTGTAGACCATGACGACAGCTGCTACCTCTATGTAGTGGTCGGGCTTGCATGTTACAATGACTCGGCGAGCCACGCTATATAGAATGGATGTCCCTGATATTCTTAGGAATTTGGATAGCCAGGACAAGTTATACTAAAAGCGGTTCCCATCACAATGTAAATCACTCATCCCATGTTGGGGGGATGAGGGCAAAATCATTCTGTCGGTCAATAGGTATACCAGTGAATGTTGCTGTAGACGCAAGAAGACCAATCCACGCAGACTCCGAGGCTGATAATGTGGTGAAGCTGTTAAAATACAAGCTGACTGAAGGCCCGCGTAACGCTCATAAACTGTTGGATGGCAAAAGCAGAAGGAATAGAAGAGGTATCAGCTGTAGGTAACACCAGATTCCTTGGGATTATCAGGAAAACAGGGCACAAGAACCAGTGAACGTAGATATTAGTCTTCTAACTACAAATGAGGCTGCTTCACCTCAGTAAGATAAAAAGGAGGCAAAGCGGCGGGAATCGGTGGTATGACTGTGGATATGTTTAAGGATAGGGGTGATGGTTCACAGACTAGGATAGTTAAGGTGTTAGTTAATGTGGGGAAATCGGAAACAGTCCCGCTGGACCATTCCAAATTGTTGATTGACCCAAGAAACAAGTCTCGTGGTAATCATGGTGGAATCAGCCTGACCAACCTTTTAAAATCCTAAGTCAAACCAATGGTACCCAGAAGAAACAATTCCGCGAATACCAGACAGACTCACGAACATAGGAATACTCCAACATCTACCATATTTTTAGCCTGAAGGACGTATTTGACTATGTTCACCAATAAGTGGTGTGATATCTGGCCGTAAATAAAATGTCGCTTAATTTCAAAAACGAAATCTGCTTATAGCAATATGACTTAAATGTCACCACTACGACGTTGGAGACAGATACAAGTGGTTAGTATATAGTGCAATTTCCAATGTTTCAAGACTGTTTTAACGCATGCACATTCGGGCTAGGTCTGAAGTCGTTGTGCTGCTAATAAGCACATCTCTTGAGTTTGTAATACATATATATACGTTAGACTAATTCTAAATCTTCTTCCCTGAACAATCTTATCCTTTTTACTCATAACAAATACCGAAAACCAAAACACATCTCCAATTAACTCATCCTTTGATTTGTTTTGCCGTCAGTACCTACATTTTAAGTAGAGAACTAATTTATTGGGGAAAATCCGTAAATTACGTTTATAATGAGGTCTGGTAAAATGCAGCTTATCAATAGCGCTATGAGTACCTAACAAGTACATCACAGCCTGGTCATAACTTTCGCAAATTTGTGCATCACACTACATCAAAATCGTCAGTGATAACCCTTAAGACCGAAACACTAACTCAGAAATTATGTCGAATGAAGGCCAATGGCACACTCAGTCTTCCTTAACAGTTGCTTAGAAACATAGGGTTGCAGTGTCATCATATGGATTAATTATTTACAAGCAACATAGCTACGTTACGCAGAATGTCAAAGCATGCCCTATTCTTTTTTCCTTCCCACCAGGTCGGAACACCTTAGAGGACATATTAGGAGAGCTCAAAAGCCAAGGAGAAATCATATTGCTGTTGAGTACTGGTTCTCACATCGAGTCATAGACTCTTGGAACCGACTCCCAGAAGAAGTGGTGTCTGCAACCTAACTGATTCGTTCAAGAAGGGTTTGGACAACCACAGAAATCTACTAGAAAAGGATTAACATAGGCTGCAAGCCTTCAATCCTCAACCAATAAATCTGAATCTGATGCGAAAAAACGCAATTGGCATCTAGAATAAGTAAAATATGCATCCCTCCCGGTACGGCTGGAAGTTTAAACTATAACAACTGATGTGGATCAACCAGAAGCTTGACAGGACAGCTCATTTAGAGAGGATATTGATTTTGGAGTAGACTAAAGAACAGAATCAGAAATAAACACATCTCACATCATGATTTATAGCCGTCTATTCAACGGCTGTGACTTTCACTGCCTTTTAGTCCTGATAAATTTCTCAGGGGCGGTAAGGTCCAACAGGGTGGCTGTCATAGTTTAACTTCGTCGCTCTTGGTTTTACCTAGGAGACATTGGGTATTTTCAAACTGTGACGAAGGCAAAAGATAATACAGAGCCTGAAGTGCTGATAAATAGGAGATACTTCGTATGAGTGAAATCTAGATGAGCACAAAAAGTTCACATTCTCAATAACATAAAAGACTTACCACGTCCAGGTTTTTCGTGCGCCAGATTGACCCTCAGACAGTGATTTTCAAGAGTCTACACAAAAATCTTGGAGCATTCATGATGACTTACCGCACCATCCATGGATAAGGCATTTCTCAGAGACTCTTCATCTTTGAAGTCAACGTAAGCATATCTCTTAAACTCATCTGTCTGCTTGTCTCTTACTAGTCTTACACTAGCTATCTACGTAATAACTATATCATGTGAGAGGCGCTTACATTACAACCTGAAAATATGGTGTCGAAATGTCCCTGAATAGTATTCGGTGGCAAGTTGCCAACGAAAACAGAATAACGGTGATCACTAAAAATTAAAAAGGTAATTATTGGTGAAATAATGGACACATTAGTCCGGCGTCGCCAGAGCACGCGAGCGGTTACCTTGTGGCCATTAAACCCTTCGAAAAGTGCGCGACCGTCAATCCGAACAATCTATTCAAACAACATCCAAGCATTTATTGTTTTTAAGCAGTTATCCAGAAGGGTTTGTGCTTGCGTTAGGCTCAGATTAACTTTTCAAGAACCATTATATCACTTCTGAGAAGCATAATTAAATAACTCCATACTATTCAGACAATATCCTAAAAAGATTGGAATTTTGATTAACCATTCAGTTGACCTAGGATGTAATTTTAACTGACCTGTTACCGGGTTAAGACTGAAGAGGACCAAATGTCTTTGTTACAGTGTGATACTGCAGTGAACCATTTTATTACTCATCATTATAGTATACTTCCACCATGTAATTGGACTTCGATTTGTTTGTCACTATAAAGATTGCGTGTTATCAATTGATACTTTTGTACTCGCTCAACTTTCGAATTTTTGATTGCTGCAATAATACACGTTCGTACTCCTTCTCAAGTGCCTTTTGATTTACGTTGTGGGTGTCGAGTAAACACAACGTTAGGTCACAATAATAATCGCGAAGAAGTACTAGGATATACATGTACGCTAGTTTGGTCAAATAAAGCACCACGACATTACAACCTACTAGATGAACCACTGGTAAGTTCCCTTAACCAAAATATTTTAAAGGGTATTTATAACCTAAATTATACCATATAAGTACATCAGAACTACGTTGACGTTTAATCTGAAGCTTTAAATTAATCTTGGATGTGTCACCACACTATTTTTTAACGAAAGACAAGTAGTCCTTCCTTGGAATACGGCTATCACATTGCGTGATTCAAGAAATCATGTAACATGCATAGGCTATAAAATCTAGCAAAATTATACACTGAAGAGTATCCAGTTGGACATTTGAAAACGGAGTGAATTTTACACACTCTTCTTTATTATCGGCTTTTGTTGCGTTATACGCTCCAAAAGTCTACAGATTAACTTCAAATCAGTTTATTCTGATCGAAGTTAGTTTACGTTTCAGATATGAGTCTATTTAATTATAAGAAGTTGTGTTCTCATAACTTAATAGTTTTATATATATCCATCTTTGTGCACTCAGCATTTTATCACTGATTTATAAAGGTTATATATATTTGAAGTCATATTTAAATTTTCCCCGGTTCGTTTTAAATAACATGCCTATCAAAAGAAATCACTGCGGAAGGGTTATGTACCAGTTTCCAGTGGATGAGGGAATGCAGTGTGATAACTACAAGAGATGGTTTCACAGTATGTGCACGAACCTTACTCCTGCAGCATAAAAACGCTGCTGCAAACCTCTAGCAAATTGGTTGTGCAATGACTGCTGTAGTACAACTAAATTCCGTATAACATAAGCCATTGCTACTTTCAGTGGGGCTTTAAAGCTCATGGACTGAAAGCATCCTCCAACACATGAGAATACCGACTATCACTCAGATAACGATGACGTGACTAGCGTCACTGACAAAACAGAACATGTCCCCGATGAGTCCTTGGCAATAAGTGAGTGTCCTTCAGCACAGAAGAACACCCACCACATTTCAGACACCCAGGTTGCCCCACGATACTGGATAAGCCCTCCAGCAACAGTAATGGAAAGACTGCCGCGAAGAAGAGGCGTACCAGGGGTCGAAAACTTGCAGCTCAAGTCACTCAGGGACTGGAGGATCAAGCCTCATCCACACCGGTTAGTGGCAGGCAGATAAATCCTACTACGAGGAGGATACCAATGAATGGCGTAATGTAGTCTCTCGCAAAAAGCGAGATAAGGATAACACACTGGCTACACCGCCCACGAAGGACAGAAACACACTTACGCCGGAGAGCAAGAAAGCCATGGCAAGCAAACCTGATCTCCCTGACAGGTCTCTCATTCTCCACAAAGTGGAAGAGTCACTGGGCCCCGATCGTAAGGCCAGATTCGAGCATGACCTTAACTTGTTTAAGCCCCTTTTAGACAAGCTACTGCCACAAACAGTATCAAGAATTAATATACACAGAGTATATAGAATATGCCAAAAGCCTGACCCTACGGTAAGTCAGCCTGTACGTCTCCTCAAAGTCGTACTAAACTAGAAAGAAGAGATGGATGCTATTCCAAGCAACTCTCATATTCTTAAAGGATCAGGGATATTTGTCCGCGCTGACCTAAGCTTAGCAGACTGTGTCAAAAGACATACTGTGGCACTAGAATTAAGCGAACGACGCCGGAACGGCGAGAAGAACCTCAAAATTATAGGGTTTTTGGGTTGTCCGAGTTCGCAGTTTAATGATCACGAAACCTCTGTGTGTACGCCGGGGAAGCACCAATCTAAATTAACAGTCTGCAACACAAACGCCCGCCCTAGTCCAACATAACATTAAGACCACGAGCTAGGATTCACAGCACTCCTCCTCAACTATGGACCCACTGTTCTACCGCGGTGAGGATGGGAATCTCACACAAACTTACCTCCGCTAGGAAGAAATGACCATGCTGTGCTCACTTTCAAGTTCACAGCAACCGCAGCAAGTGCCAAAACCCCAGCTCGACCAAACGTTTGGAAAGCTGATATAAATGCAATCGTCTCAACAGCCAACTCAGTAAACTGGTACATCAACCCAGAGTCCCAAGTGGAAGCCGCATGGAACCGATTTAAACAACTCTACGCCCAAGTAACTGAACCTTTCACCCCTTGGTCCGTCCCAAAGGGTCGGAATCATTGCCCACCTTGGATAAACCGAGATATTCGTAAGTTACTCAGAAGTAAACACAAATGTTGGAACCTATTGGCCACACTTGAGACTTCTGAGACCACGAAATTATATAACACCGCTAGAAATAAAGCTATTGCAGAAATCCGCCAATCAAGGATGAAGTTCGAAGCACATCCGGCTCAAAATGCAAAGGCGCAACCCAAGAAAATTTTCTCGTACATGAATTTCAGGAATAAAACATCCAATGGTGTCCCACACCTGATTATTGACAATGATACAATCGAAGAAGATCAAGAAAAAGCAGAAGCAATGGCAAACTACTTCTCCCAAGTCTTCACTCAGGAGTCATCACTCCCTACAGGATCAGCTCTGGCTGCATCAGAGGAATACGGGATAGATTCCGTTGACATTGACCAAGGTATCGTGCTCAGCTGCTTAATGAAACTAGATGCAGGGAAATCAATGGGTCCCGATAATCTTCACCCAAGGCTTCTCAAGGAAAAAACAGTGAATGTTGTATGTGATCGTAAAACATATTTGATATGTATCCACATATATATATTTATGTGTGTGTGTATGTTGGTCTCTCTTTCTGTTTGCTCGGTTAGTCTGTGACCACTTCACTTGTATGAACTTGTCTCCTTTAATAATGTGTATTCTCCTTATATTATATTATATATAATATGAGTGTTTGTTGACAGTCCGTTGCTTGGTGACATATATCCATATATGTTGTTGTTGACATGTCTGCTATATTCGCTATGTATATTTGGATCGACACTCCATTATAATTAGCCATTCATGTTAAGACTGTCTAATGATTTGTCTGGAACATTCATATATATTTCGCATACACAATTTGTGTGAACTACTTTACTTTACTTACTTACCACTTTGGTGTGAGACCATTTATTTTCGTCTCCTTGTGTTTGGACAATAGAAGTATCATCGCAAACCTAGTGGTCTTCTGATTTCCGCCTTCTCGCGTCAGGACTATTAGTTTCTCGACCAGACCATAATAACAATTTAGCGACGAGTACATAACAATTTGGCGACGGGGAAAACTACTATTAACCACTCAGCAGCAGCAACATAACAATTTACTATGGATCCTTCTAAATTGGAATTATTGTTTGAACGACAAATGAAATTAATGGAAATGTTCGTCAACCAACAGACTGGTCCAGCTTCACCTTCAAGCAATCCCAATCATACCATGCTACCATCTGTCGACGGCATTGTGAACAGTATTTCACAGTTCAATTATGACCCAGAGGCTAATGTCACTTTTGACACATGGTATCAACGTTATGAGGATTTATTCACTGTTGATCTCGCCTCACAAGACGATGCCTGGAAGGTGCGAGTGTTGTTACGTAAATTGGGTCCGGCAGAATATGAACGGTACTGCAACCTAATTTTACCCCAGAAACCACGTGACAAGTGTTTCGATGATACAATAAAGCTGCTGCGTGAACATTTTGGAGACCACTCCTCATTATTCAGCATACGTTATCGTTGCCTCAAGCTGACAATGAATGAAAATGATGATTTTCTTACTCACGTTGGCACAGTCAACCGAGAATGTGAGAGATTTCGACTCAGGTCCTTAACAGATGATCAATTCAAAGCCTTGATTCTCATATGCAGTCTCCAATCTCCTCGTTTCACAGATATCCGAACTCGACTGCTCAATCAGCTAGAACAAAATCCTAAGTTAACATTACATGACATAGCTGATGAATATCAACGGCTGATTAATCTGCAGAAAGACACACACCTGGTCGAATCAACACCTTCGAGAAGCTCTGATATTCGTGCATTACGAAAGAGCAAAAATCTCTCATCATCCACTCCTGACCCACCTTCTTCTAATGTTCCGCGGAAATCTACAGATACTCGTCCAACTTCACAAAATACTGCAAAGAAGACCCCACCATCACCATGCTGGCATTGTGGCGCGTGGCACTTTGTAAAGTCTTGTCCGTACAAAAATCATCGTTGCAGCAAGTGCAACATCGTCGGTCATAAAAATGGTTTTTGTCAGCCACGCAAACCCAGATATCATAATCCAGCAAAAGCTCAACAAACGGTTGGTCCTAAATCTCCAAGGAGATCATTGAGTCTACTCGCAACCTGTCAAGTCATAACTCCATGTATGCGGAAATATCTTGACCTTCAGATGAATGGTCATGATGCACGTCTGCAGCTAGATACCGCCTCTGATATTACTGTTATATCAAAGAAACTTTGGAATAATATTGGCAGACCACCAATCGTAAATACTTCTCAGACTGCTGTCAGC